CACCACCATCCATCGCAACCCTGCCAAAAGGCACTTGCCGTGTTGGCTTGCAGAGTAGCCCCGCAGGCACAGTTTGGCGGGAGGAGGAAAGCGTCCAAGCCATGGTTGGCTGGGAGAATGGTGCTGTGCTGCAGCTCCAGCCGCGGTGAGCTGCCGCTGCGTAGGAGCCAGCCGGGGCATTACAGCTGGCTTGGCATTTGCTGCAAACCCCGTCCTGCACTGGGGAGTTGGACAGCGAGATCAGTTATGGAAGCAAGTAAGCCAGCATCATCGTGGGCAGTGCTGCGCTCAGGAGGGCGGCGTTCTGGGCTTTAAGGTTAAATTCAAAAGCCCTGTTTCACGGCTATTCACACATCAAAAAAATGCTCCTGCAGGATGAGGGCGGCTTGACGTTACTGCTTACTCTATCTATCTGCCTGACTTCCTCACTGCCCTGCTTGTAGCTTTTCTGCACCCGCTGACAGCAATCTGTGGTTTGTGGTCTCTACTAGCCTAGTCTCAGAAACCAAAATTTGAGGCACACTGGGTGATGTGTGCTGACAAGAATGGGAAATATGGGGTGTTGCAGGGGATAGGGGAACCTCTGGACAGAGGGCCCCGGAGCAGCAGGCTTCCTGTAGCCTGACTTGGTGACTAACGAACCCAAGAACAACAAGGAGGAACAAACAATGGGAAGTGCCTGTTTGACCAAGGCCAAGCTTAGTGTCTCGCCTGACTGCTTCCGGCCTGGTGTGTCAGGCTTGGCAGCCGAGCAAGAAGCCAAGCTGTCACTGCACGTGAGCAGGCTCAAGCCGTGCTCGGGGGTTCACTGCAGGAACTCGTCATACTCTTTGGGGAGCAGGGAGCGCTCACAGTAATCTCTCTTTGCTGCTGCTGGTCTGAACGCTTGGCCAGGAGAAGGAGCCATCAGAAGGGGTGTCACCGTGGCTTTGGCTCTGCTCTGATGCTGCAATACAGGGACAAAATACAAATGCACCTCATGGAAGGAGGTGCTGGCTTGGCCAACAGCGCACTGTGTGTCTGCATTGTGCCCTCCCTTCAACTGCATGAGCTTATGCTACGCCCATCCCTCTGCTGTCAGCTGCAAGCGAACATTGCCCCTGCCATACGCTGCCTTCCCTGCACCGCTCGGGCGTCAGGAAGCTGCACGCGGCCCTTCTGCGGGAAGCAGCCCAGAAGGGCAGAACGGAGACCGCCTAGGCTGGTCAACGGCAAGAGGCGTACCTGTTTGGGTTGATGCCGCTCCGGTCGCTGGTCTCTGGGCTGGGCCTGCTGCCTCTGCAGAGGTTTGCACAGCATGCTCTTCAGATATTTGTAGAGGTTGCTTTTCAGGTGCAAGGGGTTATAAGTGACTTCCACTTCCAAGCTGTTCAGGGCACTCTGTTCGGACAGAACAAAGAACCCTGTGGCTGTAAGATGTGACAGGTAGAGGCTGGGGGGTTTGCTTGGGGTTTTTTGTTGGTTTTAGTGTCAAGGGCTCTTTTTGCAGGGACGAGTGCTACAGGCATTCCGTGCCACCCTGCAGTGATGGGAGACGGGATCTTTGCCTGTGCTGCTGCCCACAAGAACCACTCTTAGCTCTTTATAGAACAAGAGGAATCTGCAACCAGGTCTTAATGGATTTAAGCATCTCCTTGCAGGATGCAGTCCTATCCTCCCCCATGCCCAGAATGAGCCAACAAGCTGGAGCACTCTGTCGGGGCACTGTCACCCCCAACTCTCTGCTTCATACGACCTCTTCCCCTTCCCTTCAAGAGACATGCAACATTGCTCCAAAGAGCAGGCATTTGCTGCCTGCGAAGAAAGCTGTGGGATATTTGGCTGCTGGGAAGAAGTTCTGGAGTGCTCCATCGTATTCCAGCTGCCACTGGACCTTTTCACAGCTCCTTCCTCCTCTACTCATCTGCTAAGACCTATAGTGAGGGCTCTGCCCTTCTTGGTATCACCTGAAACAGAGGCAGGCAACTCAGTAGAACATATGGATGCCCAGAAGGAAATGCAGAAGCCTGAATCTATTGGAAGAAACAGAGACACTTTATGTATTGATTTATCTTATGCCTAAAGCACGACCCTCTGCAGTTTGAGGAGATCCATGTTCCCCAGCAATGAGGCGATAGATAAATCTTCAGCAGCAGCTGCATGTCCTGTGCGTAAAGGCTGATCGTTACTCTGATCCCTGCTGGTACAACTGGGATCCTTTCCCCAGGTACGTGTGCAGGGCTGTCAGTCACTTACCTCTATAGGGCCATGCACTTGCTCGGGCTGTTCGTCAAGGAGGGCTGGGAAGGTTGATGGCAGCAAGAGCTCTCTGATGGCGACTGCTTTGACAAGTAGAGTGGCAGAGTTGGAAGGGGCAATGATGTAGTAGGAATGCACCATGATGTTCCAGTTTGGACCAGTGTTCTGCGATTCACGTTTAGCCAAAAGCATCCACTTCCTTTTCTAAATGGCAAAAGCCAAAACCGATGTGAACAATGGGCAATAGCCACTTCCTTCAGCACTTTCACTGTAGGGGCTGCTGCGTTCAGGAGCAGAGACAGCCATACTCATCAAAGTAAGAACACTATTCTGCAGTGTGGCAGAGGATGCCACGTTGTTTGTAGGTTGTTTTAATTGAGTGCAAGACAATTCTTAAGAAAAGCATCCTATTTTGCTTTACGACTTGTCAGTAATGGAAAGTCCTCCACATCCCAAGCCTTGGTTAATTATTTTCACAGTTGAAGATGCACATCTAACTCCAACCCTGACTTTTGCACTTCATACCTCCAAACCCTGCATTTCTGATAGGCTAGAGAATCTTCTCTAAGGTCTGATGTGCTGTAGCATCTTTCCAGTGGATGCGCTGGGGCTGGAAGGATTTACAAGCCCAATGCTGGCCCATGAGATGAAGCTGCAGCTTTTGAAACCTGTTCTCTGGTGCAGGCTAGACAGCTCTTACTAGAGGTGCACTAACTATTCCTTTCTATGGCAATCCCTCCGCGTGAGGCTGCAATTTTCTCACTCACCAGAAGACTATGACATAGCGCATGGAAGCTGTGCTGGTTTATCTCCAGTTCATCCCAGTCTAGCTGCCAGCAGCTTGTGGGCTTGATGATGAAGGGCAGGCCATACAGTACAGACTCGCAGACCCCTTCAGACTTCAGAGCCCTGCAAGCATACAGCTCATGTTAGTGAAGCACAGCCAGCGTGAAACCAGCACGAAGACTCTACCGGGAGATGCCTGGCTCCAGCGGCTATGGCAGTATCGGCTGCAACACCGCTACAAGCACTTGGTGTCTGCATTGCTGTGGCCTGTCACCGCGAAACCCCACAGGGAAGTCTAACTGCAGTGAAAGGAGGCTTTCCTGCTG